CCTGATTTGGGTATCCTAAGCTATACTGTGGCAGGAAGAAGGTGGGCAGAATTTATTTTGCACTCCAGAGCTGGGGATAGGACGTGGGCTGAGCGCTGTCACACGACCCTGACGACTCCCCCTCACTGCCACGGGATTCCTCCAGCCACTGTTGCTCTGCCACCTTGGTGACCCACCCGTCCAAGCAGCAGGGGCCTCAGACACCTGAACAGGGAGGGAGACTGTCCCTGCCACTACGTTCACTCTGGATGTATGGCACTGCCCCTCTCTCTGCTCTGCAGTGCTGTCTCCTCCATCCAGGTCGTCATCCCTGGCCTCTTATAGCCGCTTCCTTTTATTCTCTCCTCCCACCTCCCAGTGTTCCCTCTGCTCTCCCCGTCCTCCTCCCTTCCCCCTACATAATTGAGGACGCCGGCTCCTGGGAGGGGCCTTGTTCTCTCTCATTCCTTCCTGCTTTGGGTGTAGTACCATCGAGTGGCTCTGGATGGGGCGTGGCGCCCGGGTGCGCTGGCGTGCTCTCGTGCCGGGCCACGTTCGGGCGATCTCCCGGTATCCCTGCTGTTGACGCCGATTGGGGCCGATGGGAGGGCTGCTGCCGCACCCTCCCCGGCTGCCTTTCTCTGACTTTTCCTGGGGTCCCAGGTGAGTAGAGGTGGGTCCAGGGGCCGTCCTCCCGGCGTCGGGGGTGGTCTCGTTGGGACCGCGGGGTTCTCCTCTTTGAGGCTTGTTTGGCACCAATCTTAAGGCCAAGACCTTTCTTTTTACTCTGGCTTTTAAGTGAGAGCTTATTGTCAGCTTCTCGCCAAAGCAATATTTTAGGTATGATAGACCAGAATAGCCACAGTGGGTTTACTCCAGCCTCAGTGGGGCTCTACATACACCAGCATATCTCCAGAAATGTTGGCATGTGTCAGCATTCATCTGAGTTATGGTGGCCCAGGGCTTAATTGCTGTCATAAGCGGTTTATAAATTAGTTTTAGGATTGTGCCCTAAATTGCCTTAAATCCAATTAGTCATATTGAAGAAGAAGAAGAGATTGGATTTATACCCTGCCCTTCACTACCCAAAGGTGTCTCAGAGCGGCTTACAAACTCCTTTCCCTTCCCCACACCCCTGACAACACAGCTCGCCCACCTCGGGGTCGCTCTCCAGGCCTTGCCCCCGGGCGCTTAACCACTACACCAAACTGGTAATTCTTTGGTTCCTCAGTGACAAAACGTAAGTGTATTTACAGTCCAGTGTTCAAATCACTTGAGCAGATTAAATGCGTGAACTTTTAAATGACATTTAAGAGATTTGCAGCCTTTGAACTTATATCTAGAAAGCAGTGAGTGATGAAAAAGAAGCAACAGAGCATCAGATCTTACCAAAATGATTGTTGTGTTGCCTTACTGCTCAATGCCAAACCTGAAATATACTTAAATCTGTTACGTCACACTACTTCATCAGTGAATTGCAGAGCATCAGATCTTACCAAAATGATTGTTGTGTTGCCTTACTGCTCAATGCCAAACTAGAGAACCTGAAATATACTTAAATCTTTTACGTCACACTACTTCATCAGTGAATTGCTGCAAGCAAAATTAGCATTTGTATTTAAATCCAGTTTCTGAGCATCTACACGGGGGTTTGTACAAGCAGAAGTTTTTAAAAAGCCTGGCCTTTTGCCTTGATATTATTTATGTATTTTTGCTTTAGCCACAAGGTTTTATCACCTCAGGAGACTTCTGTGATTTTGGAGAACAGTAAATGATGCACATTTGGTCTTGGAATAACCTAGGGCCATGCTTCACAATTTACAAACCTTTGGAGGTGTGTTTGATTGGTTTTCCCTAGCTACGATATATAAACTTTACAAACGATTTTGGGGGAAATGAAGACAAAGCATTTGTTTATACTTTCCTGCAAATATATGAAACAGAAGGTTGCCTAATATACCTAATGGTCTGACATTCAAGACCAGAATGCTCGTTTTTCTCTGCAGCGCAGGTCATTCGACCTCACTACCAGAAGATCTTATGGGGGCCAGTAGCATGCTTTTATATTAAGCTTTGGAAAGGGAATGTCAATTTAAAAAATAAATTTACTAACTATACTTTCATATTGCAGCTGCCTTCTGAATTCTTCACAAGTTGGTTTGGAAGGCTGGTGCTGGCACCTAGAGAACCTGGATATCTCTCTGGGGCCCAGATGGACCTCTTCCTTTCCTTTATTTATTAAAGTATTTATTCCCCAACTTTTCCCATGGCTCAAGATGTCTTACAAACTCAAATTAAAAAAAAACCACAGTAAAACTTCAAATAACCCCCCCCCCTTTGCCTGCAGCCTGCAACTCATGAAAAGCCCTAATAAATACAGTGGTCTTGGGATACCTCCTAAACACAAGTCGAGACAGTGCCCCCAGAGCTCCTTGGAGAGGCTGTTCCATAAAGTGGGTAGAAAGAGCATGGTCTCTGGTCAGTGCCCAGCAGGCCACCCTAAGCAGGGGAGCAGCTAACAGGTATCAGCCTGAAGACTGCAGCTGGCACAGAAGGGCATATGGAAGAGAGAGTCCTTCAGGTATGCAAGTCCGAGGCCACGAAGGCCATTTTAAAGGTCATAACCAGCACCTTGAACTGAACTTGGAAACAAACTGGCAGACAGTGTATAGCTGTGTTAAAATAGGTTACCATCTGCTACGCCCTGACATAGGCTTCCCAAGTCCCCCCAGGGGGCGGGGAGACCCCCGCTCCAGAGGCCCATTCCCCGCCACCGGTGGATCGGGCCCTGGGGGGAACCCCACCCCGACGTGTGCGTCACCCAGAAGTGACGCGACCACGCCAGGCATGCTGGGGGTGTGGTGACGGTCATCCGAGGGAAAACTATGCTTTTCCATCGGATGGTGTTGGGCACGCCACCCAACGTGCCCGGCGGTGTCACGTCCCTTCCGGGTGATATGCGTGCGGCGCGCGCACTCCAGCCACAGCATGGGAGTCCCCCGGTAAGTAGATATTTCAACTTGGCAACCCTAACCTTACAGTAAGTGGGCTGCTATATTCTGAATGAGCTGCAATTTCCAAGTTGTTTTCAAGTGTAGCCCAACATGGAGGGTGTTATAGTAGTGATCCAACCATGAGGTTACAAAAGCATGGGTTAGTATGCCCATCGAGGGGACATTGTGTGTATGCATTCTGAGGGTTGGAATTAGGCATGCAGTTGTCCAGGACAACCTGGTGCCTGAAGCAGAAAATCCAAATGTGTTGCTTGTGAAATAATGACATAGCTGTAGCTGAGCATTTCCAGACTGCTAAAGGTTCTCTCCATTTCTTGCCATGCAATATCCTCAGCCAAAATAATAGAAGGTAGCTGGAGGAAGTCCATGATGCTTTTGTTTCCTGGGGCCCAAAATTTCTCTCGAAGCCTGAATGAATGTAATGTAATGTGGGAAATGGTTGGCCAGCAGAAATAAATATTCAAATACTGGAAGGGGAGAGGGAGGAGACAGAAATTGGTATCAAGCCATCTTTTGGCTGTTTAGTTTTCTACATTAGCAAAGGCCTTCCCCCTAACCCATGTCTTCTCGATAGACTGGCCCAGAATAGACTTTGCAGCTGCGCTCCTGGAAGGTCTGAATGGACTCATAGTTATGCAGATTGCCTACTGCTAGAAATGGAGGGATGGAAACAATTATGGGTGGAGGAAGGGACCGACAGGGGAAATCCTTTTATTTCTTTCATGCATGTGAGATGACCACATAATCACAGAGCTGCAGTTTCTTCTTAGATTTTTCAGTCATGAGTTGTAAATGCCCAAGTGGTATGAATATACTTGTACATATCTGAAAGGTACTTTTCCATGCTTTTTATCATGAAAAGTCAGATTGTTTAGACCCTGCAAAATAAAGCTGTTTTAAAAACAAGTTTTTAAACCTTTCATATTTCATCATTCTGCTACAATTTAGGCTGCAATCCACATTTAACGTTGTGTCTTGAAAACTTTCTGCTGTGAATTGGGCTTGGTTAAATTAACAGGATTTTGTCCCTGTTGTCAATGTGGTCATGAATTTCCCATGTGTTTCAATTGATCTTACAGAGTATTTCCCATGACCTTATGGTATTGCTCTTCTCTGCAGGGTAACCAGGTTTTTGCAAATGCCTTCCTTCTGCTTACATGGTACATGCATATGTGGCAAAAAGGATTTTTGTTTAATTGTAGGTTTACACTTGCTCTTAGCATGCTGATTTAGATCTTTGACTGCATGGGTGCTGAGCAAAACTACCAGGCCTAAATCAGGGAGCCACCAGATTTGGGGCCTTTGTAGGTTGTACATTTCTGCGTGGTGTCAGAGGAAATGGAAAAACATATTTAAAGGTACATGCCCAGATTACCACCTGGGGCTGCCAGCCTCCAGGTGGGGCCTGGAGATCTCCTGCTTTTACAACTGATCACCAGCTGGCAGAGATCAGCTCCCCTGGAGAAAATGGCTGCTTTGAAGGGTGGAGTCTACGACATTGTACCATGCTGAGGCCCCTCCCCTCCTCAAACCCCACCCTCTCCTGGATCCACCCCCAAAGTCTCTAGATATTTTCCAACCCAGGCTGGGCAAACCCTATTACCACCCCTTGTAGGCCAAGGTGGTAGGTATATTTAAATAAATAATTGTTGGTTGGAACCCAGAACCCTACAGATGCAGAGCCAAAACACTGGGCTGAAACCTGTGATCCATGATTTCTTAGGCTTTTGCAGACACTTTGTGAACTCCCCATCTTAAAAAGCATTGGGCCTAAACTAGTTAGCCAAAATTTCCTTGGCCCTGACAATTCTGTCGGAAATTGAATAATAAATAAGGAATGTGCATTCTCTACAGACATTCCTTGTTATGAGCCACGTGAAAGTGGAAAACCTTTTTTAAAGGAGCAGACTTCTGAATGTTCTCTTCCTCTCCACCCCTCCCTACATTATTTAGAATGATGGCTTTCTGCTATCAGTTGTTCATTTCTTTGTTTTCATATCTCTTTAGTGTCTGGACTATAGAAAAGGAGCCTTGACAGGTGACCTTTGTGACGACTTGTGCGTGGCCCAGAAACTGATATACAAGCGCTGCCTTTATTATGACCAAGGCAAAAAGGTCATCCAAGCTGACTGGAGAGGCCGCCCAGTGATCCTGAAATCCAAAATGGAAATCTTCTCCAGCTATCAGCACCTTGGTTTCCTGGAGGAAATGGAATCGCAGAGTATTCCAGAGGCAGATCTGTTTCTTATGGTGGCTTTGGAGATAAAAAATGCTCTGGGCTTGGAACTACCTAGTAATAATACAGGGCCCTTGTGGACTAGGGGGAGAGGCCCTCACTGGAAAGCACAGTTGGCCAGTATGTGGTCTTTACTCCAACAAGAAGAATATATTTATTTCAGTGTCTTGCAAGACTTCAGTAAACATGTTCTGAGGGTCATTGGCTCTTGCGGCCACTTCTATGCTGTGGAGTATCTGACGGCTGGGCATGCTTGGCACAACACACTGTTTTCCATGGAAGATGCCGTTGGTGCCTCCTTTTCTGGGATTAAAAGCAAAGCTAAGGCCATCACCGAAATCGCCATCAGCTTCCTGGATATGGTGAATCATTTTGACAATGACTTTTCTCATCGGCTGCATCTCTGTGACATCAAACCGGAAAATTTCGCTATCCGAAATGATCTGACGGTAAGTGGGTCCCTGGGCTCTGGCAACTGAATCCATGACTCACTGTCATAAGTGGAAGTCATGCTGCTACTCAGAAAGACTGCCATGTTGTGACAACTTTCGGTTCATCATGCCTGCCACCTTGTTCACTGAAGTAAGCTCACACATCCTTCCTTTTAATTTGATAGCTGACATAGCGAATGCTGACAAAGGTGATCTTTGATCACCGTAGGTTTCTCTGTCTTGCAGGGGGGACTGAGATGAATAACTGAAAAACAGGTAGAGCTCAAGCAACATTCAGCTCAACTGAGAACTAAGTATAAGCTTTCTCTACCCGTATCGTATATGCAGAGCACTGTATGTGAGAATTGTTTCAGATGTGACTGACCTGGTAAAAATAGGTTGTCTGTGCTTGGAGAACAAATTGGCAGAGGTGTGCCACGCCTTGCTCGTCACATACCTACTTTGCAGTCAAAATCCCTTAATTTGTGATGTGCTAAGGGCCAATCTTCTATTTACTCATTTACTTCCAGTGTGGGCCCAAATCAGCTTACATCATTTCCCTCTCAGCCATTTTATCCTCACAACCATTCTGTGAGGTAGGTTAGGCTAACTGTGTGTGACTGGCCCTGGCCCAAGGTCAACCAGCAAGTTTCCATGGCCGGGGGGGGGGGGGGGGGGGGGTTCAAACCTTAACCACTGCACAGCACAGGCTCTCTAACAAACTCCTTGCATTGTTGGTGGATAGGACACGGGGTTTGTTTCAGATGTGCAAAGGGAGTTGTGTGCCTCCCAAATATATGCTGGTCCTTCTCTGCTTGCAGCTAGTGTGTGTGGGCGGAGCAGCTTCATTCTTCCTTCCTGTACTGTTTTTGTATCTTCAAACTGCCCAGTGGAGCCCTCATTGGTTCTGTTATGAAAATTATGTGCAGCTGTGTAAGAAATATTGATTTTTGCAGTGGAGCCAAAAAAGTTTCCATGGGACAGTTTGAAGGTACGGAAATGACTGGGGGGGGGGCCTGAAGCTACTGCTTCCCATCTTCAGTTGTTGCTATCTGAGAAGGGCTGGTATGCCCCTGGGAGGCAGAAAACTCCTATTGCACAACTGATATAAGTCTTTGTGTTGTAACCCAACAAGATAGGACATTAGTGGCTTGGGTCTTGCTTTCTTGACGGTGTCTTTTCCCTGTGGTTTCCTCTATAAATTTCTTGTGTACCACATCCCAATGATAAAGTTATATAGAGAAGCTTTGTTGTAGAACTTCCTTCTCTTGGAGACTTGAATCTTTAACCTAAGTATTTTCTGAACATGTTGTAAATCTTTGTACTTAAAAGGTCTTTCACTAGGGAATTAAGTTTACATGGAGAGATAGTAGGGATTTTAATTTCAGTGGATTTCAAGGTGATTAAGTGGATGAGACTGGATAAGCTTGCGGTATTTTGTTCTTGTTCTAGGTATGTTACAACTAACTCTGAACTTTTGGTGACAGGTGAAATAGAAATCCAATTTACCATATAGTGATCTCAATTGAAATTTTTGTAAGGCTTTTTTGGAAGGGTATTCAAGTCATGCCTTCATTTTAGCTTCAAGCAAATTAATTTCTTTCTGCAGAATGAAAGAAGACTGTGTTAATTAACACAGCTTCCAACAGACTGTGTATTTATTAAATATGTGCATACATTTTTTTGCACTTGAAGTGTTATGCAGAAATGTTATGCAAAAGTTAAGCACACAGCATCTTAAAGGAGTAGAAATGTTTTTACTCTTCAAATTATTTTGATGCTTATTCAGGTGCATAATTAAGAACCAGAAAATTTGTAGTATTAAGTGGAGGAAGATGGAATTTGTCTGGCTCAGTTTTCTTACTATGATCAGAAACCTATGCAGCATCTATGGAAACAGGTGGTGGAGGTGGATTTTTTTTCTTGCTTCCCCCTTCCCCAATCCCAGTCCCAAAAAGGGTGATTGTGGGAACTGTGGAAATTGTGTGGGGAAAAGCCACCAAGGATGGTAGATGCAGGAACCCACTGAGCCTCTTCTTCCTGCCCAAGCATAATTGCACTGGTGGAATTGAGGGATATGAGCCAAGCCCCAAGCAGAGTCAGCAAAACCACCAGGGACCACAAGTTTAATTCTCTGTATCTAAGCTTTCTATTCTATTAAACACCAAATTCTATTCTTGTCATGTCTTTTGTATTTTCAGTTTTTGTCAGAGCAGTTATTCATTTATTTGTTAAGGAAATTTTATGCCCTCTTTCCTGAGTGTTGCTTGAGGCAGATTAAAGTAAAAACACTACCGTAAGATCATCATCAGTTATCAATATAAAACAAAATAAACCATTAAAAACAATTCAGGAATATAAAACAGCATGAAATATCCATAAAACTGTCTTCAGACTAGTAGACCATAAAACAGCTAAGAAAAATGAAACCATTTAGTTAAAATTGTGGCTAAAAAGAGATGTTTTGGCCTGACACCTAAAAGACAATATGGTAGGTGCCAGGCAAACCTAAAGAGGGGAGGGCATTCCAGAGGCAAAGTGCCACCACTGAGGATGTGTTTTCTCATGTCACTGTGTTGGCGTTTCTGTAACTTCTGGTCTGGAACTTCATTGTTTTGTTACATGCTCCCAACTTCTTCTGAGCAGTGAGAAGGCCTAGAGTCTAGTGCATACTTGTGTTCGTTCCCTTTGAAGGAGGGAGTACCAGAGACTTAGAGCATTTTTGTAGTAGCTGTTTTATTTACAGGTAGAGCACTGAGACACTTCTGTAGGGCAGCGAATTCACACCCTACATCAGATCCTGGCTACACCCCTGGTAAAAGGTAAAGGTTCCCTTGCTCGAAAGCCAGTCGAATCCGATTCTAGGGTTGCGGTGCTCATCTCCGTTTCAAAGCCAAAGAGCCAGCGCTGTCCGAAGACATTTCCGTGGTCATGTGGCCGGCATGACTAAACACCAAGGCACACGGAATGTTGTTACCTTCCCACCGAAGTGGTACCTATTTATCTACTTGCAATGTCTTGCTTTCGAACTGCTAGGTTGGCAGGAGCTGGAACTAGAGATGGGAGCTCACCACGTCATGTGGCAACCCGGGTCTTGAACTGCTGAACTACCGATCTTCCACAGCCTGCAGTTCAGCGTCTTAACCACTTGAGCCACTGCACACCCCTGGTACCACCCTTCTTTTTGTGTATAATTCATGGGTGTGATTCCAAGCTCTGAAGGTAATATAGATCTGGATAGATCTGTTGTAATGCCCCTGTATAGATCTATGCAGGGCTATTTTTGGGCAGGAACGCACAGGAACGGAGTTCCGGCTGGCTTCAGAGTTGGCCACGCCCACTACAGCCAAAACCTCTGGGTGCATGGCTACAGAGGGAAGGCCTGGAGAGCGACCCCGCTGGTGACTCCGAGGCGGGTGGCAGGGGGGCCAGGGGGGCCCCTGGAAGGATCGGGGCGGCACGGGGTTGTGGCCTAATATGCTAATGAGCTTGCTGAAGGATCGACGTTCCAATAGCGTAGCCATGTGTTTCTTCGTGCTCTGACGCTTGAGGCCATGGCTCTTGCTGACTGCTGCACAGCATCTAAGGATGCATCGGCTGCAAAGGCCGTTGCCAGGGCTATTTTCTTGATTTCATCTTTGAGTTCTTTGGGAATATCACTATCTGCTGTGGCGAGATCAGAGGCCCATGCGTACGCTGCTTTGGCGAAAAGTGAACCAGTGACCGAGGCCTGAAGAGGCCTCAAAATCTCTGTGCAGGGCTTGTTCAATCCATTTGTCGCTATGGTCCTTTGGGAGCCCATCTTCCTCCATAGGTAGTACAGATGTAGAAGCCAGACTGTTGACGGGTCGTCCACCACTGGCAGTTTAATCTTCTTTGCCACTTCTGGTATGAGAGAACTTGGAAAACATAGGATGGTTAGACTTAGGTTTGGCAGGACGGTCCCATTCTGCTTTGATAAGAGAATAAAATGTTGCTGGCAGGGGCACCCTGGTGGGTTTATTTCCTGCCTTAGGTAAGGTTTGTTCTGACCCAGTAGGAAAATCTGTATCCTCTTCCTCTGTTGTTTTTGGAGTGTAATAGATTTCAAGTTTCCTTAACACTTTTGGCAATAATCTCTCCTTATATATAATTGAGTAGTGGGTGCCAAAGTTCTAAAATGCACTCCTTTAGTGTACCTCCTCCCTATTTGACATAGATTCGGAGGGCTCAGAGTCAGAATCACTCAACAGTGGACTATGTTCCCTGGGGGGCGGGCTCTCCTCTCCCCTTCTAGCCCTTTTGGGGTTGTATGAAGAGGCTGACCTGCTATCTTTTTTCCTTTTATGTTGGGAGTGACGTTTGGGCATTCTATCTCGCTCTGGAGAAGAATCAGTGGATTCCCTATGGCGAGCCACCTCCCTCAGGTCTTTAAATTCTTTCTTTATTTCTGACCTAATCCAAGGCAGCAGATCAACTGAGGCATGTTCCTCTGGGGACCCTAATTCTTGCCCTGCTTGGGAATCCTGCTGTGGAGAGGTAGCCAGGACAAATTCACAAGTTCTGCTATCCAGGGATGTCCCTAGAAGGCTTGCCTTGGACTCCATTTTGAGGTTCTGGGAAAGTGAAAGTAAAGTAAAAAAAAAAACCTATGAAAATAGCTGTTCCTGACTTCCGGTCTATGGAACAGCGATGGCGGCAGCTCTTCCTTGGACAGGGAAGGGCGGTTCGCACGCCAGCGGCCTGGAGGGGTGCCACCTCAAGTGACACCCCTGAGGCGCCGTTGTGATAGGCTCCAGGCCAGGGGGCTTTGATGGCATAATGCTGGAGAATTGAGGCTCCCCTCCACCCCGACGGTCCAGTTACTGAGTGGCCTTCAGGCATAAGCTGGACTGAACGGGACAAGCGCCGGAGATCGAGCGGAATGGCGTAAATCTGAGCGTGGTCAGAGAAACTGACCGACAATAAACGTGAGTTCTGAATAAAACGGAGTAGTTTGAAAAGTGATCCCCGCCCCGCGGTTGAAAACAATGATTGCA